CTTGATTTTTTTTCCAATACAAGAGTCTGTTTGTACTGGGTGGCCATGGCCGCCTTATTATAATTGATGTTACATTAAGACTTAGTCACACTTCTTAAGACTTATACTTACTCACCCATGTTGCTTTCTTTTATCTAAATCTCTACCCTTTTTCCTAAAAGGGGGATGCTTTACCCTGTTTCATGTCACCTTAAACTCTTCTTGTTCTAATCTTGTCAATATCAACACAAATTCTAGTTTGGGGCATTTCTCTGGCAATTTTGGAGTTATCACTGCTTGAGGTCTTTATCTTGACTTATGGAGGGTTTTAAACATATGTTATTTCAGTGATTGCATTTTTATAACAAGTAGTCTCACTGGGTTCCTTTGTGTGAGTTCTTGTTTCTTTATATATTACTAATATCTTTTCCTAGTCCTCCAGTCTACATTTGCAAGCTTCTTTGGAATTTTTCATGAGTGTTTCCCATCACTCTGGCAGATGGGATGCTTTGCTTAGTTTGTTAGCTGTCTCCTGGACTAGTTGTCCTCCTCAGGTGTCTAGCTCTCTTGTGCTGTGAACTCCTGTACTTGGAGTGACTGGTATCCAATGTCTCCTGGAGAAGGGTCAAAGGCCAGCCTTGGCTTTGTGTGTCCTGGTGAATTTAAGGAAAATGGAGGAGTGAGTCCCAGGGTAGAGATCTTATTACCACAGAAGTATCCTTGATTCTGTGTTGGGAGCTGGCCACGGAGGCCCACTGAGCATTAGGGATCAGGAAGGGCCATTGACCCCAAGACCACTAGGATGTGTTCGGGAGCTATTGACCCCATTTCCTCCCCCTTTCTACTCAGCACTAACCAGATTAAGCTCCTATAAACTCAAACATAAAAACTCTGAGCCCGAGATAAACACAAGCTCACTTTAGAAGCTGTTTGCTCCCACTCTTCCACAAACTACAGTTTTGGCTTTCACACAACTTGCAATTCAAACTTGAGTCACATCTAAGAGCCTTAGTATTGGTCACAGGCTTCTGGGTTGTGATCTCAGGATTCACTGAAGTTGAATAAGGTGTAAATTGTGTAGAATATAGTTTTAGAAGACAGCCATTCTATTGAAAGAATGCAGCTGGATTACTTGCAGGTAGCCCACTGTGAACTTTGGACTGGGCCACATTCCAAACATTCTGGGATGGGCCACTTTCATTTGTAAAGTAAATACTTAAGCTTCTATAGAATTGTTTAACTTGGCATAAATCAATCAGCTTAGGATGAAAAAGGTTTATAGAATATGTAAGTCACGGATTAGGTTATCCTTTGTTATGGGATTTTAAGATTATCATATGAAAAGGGTTTAAAGGCAATCATTGATTAAGTTTTCATGGATTAAGGTTTCTGGTGGGTGGGGGACGCCCCTCCCACATCTGACTTTGTGTATAAAAGACCTGTTGTAATTCCCAGTAAAACACACATCGCTTCTGCACTAGACCGGTCCAGTCTCTTTCTTTCTCTCTCTATCTCTCTTCTTCCCCCCAATTGCTGATGCCATCTCCACCTTTGGGGTATCCTGAACCCGGCTGGAGCTGGTCTCCAGCAATCCTGTCCAGAAGAAAATAGTTAGTTCTTACTTTTCAATGTGACCTTTCTACCTTCCTTGCCCTCACTGGCACCTATTATCCCCCTCTTCCATATGTTTCCATGATTGTTTCCCATAACCGCCATCCTACACATGTTATTAGTTCAGTATAATCAATTTTACATATGCTGAAGTTAGGAGTAAGTCACCTTTTTCACTCTGTCAAAACAGCAAATAGAATCTCCTTCTGAGTTTACCTGATGCTTTTCTAAATGTGGTTTCTGCTCTCTCTTCTTCATGAATAATCTTACTTTAAACCTAACTCCTGTGATAGCAGTTAAGTTGCAGTCTTGGAGCCAATGGAAGACCACTATTTTAGACTTGTGGTCAAGAAGACAAGTCTACACTAAGCCTTTGTGCAGAGACCTTGCTCTGGAAGCATTTCTCCCAGCTGGAGCTCTCCCAGTGTTAAGGAGGAGGGAAGGTCACACTCAGCTGCCACCTCCCACCGCATGCATCACTTTGTACCGGGTCACTTAGCAGGTTTTGATTTTTACTGCTGCATGAAAAAGCAGCAGCCCCTACTGCAAAGAAACTTTTCCATGAAAGCCACCGTTAATAAAGACCTATTTTTTAGCAAGATGGAAAGTGTATGAGTCAATGGGTCATGAGTAGAGGCATGAATGAGAGGGTGGTAGTGCCGTGATGATGGTGCTCCAGATGTGTCTTTAACACCTTTCCCTCCTTCTGGAACCCAGGTGTCCCTTTTCACCGCAGGGCCTGTTTTGGATCGCTTTGTAGTAGGAGTGAAGCAGATGGGCAGCTGACCATCTGAGGGCAAGTTTATCTCTTGAAGAATCAGATGTTATGGTATGATGGGAATTCCTTTTGTTCTTCAAGGTCTCAAGGATAATAATTGCTGTCTGTATTGCCCTCTGGAATGTAAAGGGAAAGCTGTATCCCTTGCATATCCTTTCTAAACAAGTTCCCTGGATCCGGGGCAACCATTTTGGATGCTATCACGTGATGAGATGCTATCACAGATCACTTCTGCACAGTTCTCACTTAATCCTCATTTTTCCCTCTGAAAATCCTTCCACTAGTGGCCCTTCTGCAGCCTCACGATTATTAATTACTTGCCTTCCTTCCAGCCTTTGTCTATCTCCCAAACTACATTAAAAACCAGTGATTGGAATAATTTGAACCATCTGACATGATGTTGAACAGATCAAATCTGATCCCAAAATAATGGGGACAAAAAGGACAATAAAAGGATATCGTAGTTTCTTGCCCTAGATTTCCTTGTTACACTTCCCAAACCTGTGCAATGTTGATTGACAGTTGTGTGTGGTTTTTGCGTTATCAAGGGTGTGAGACCTGTGTCACTGAGTTTACAGGCAAATCGAAGCCTGAAGATGGTTACACTGATGGGTGTAAGAACCTTGATAGTCCTGCGCATGGTTTCTAAGCTGTACTTTTAGGTCAATCCCCCTCCATCCCCACCCCCGCCCCTTGCAGTACAAACACAATGGGATGTCAACAATAGCACTTGGCTGCAATGAGAAGCACATGGATGAGCAGGAGACACGATGCATGGATGGAAGGATGAATAATATATTTCTGTATAAAAATATGCAAATATACATCTTTTTGCTTTTAACATACTCTGTATTAATTTATACATATACATAGCATAAGCATTTCATATAATTTTGGCAAAACTATGTGCAATAAGCTATTTTGTTTTCTTCAGCCCCTATTAGCATAATAACATCTAAAATATTTCTCTAAAATATTTCTCAATATATTATCACATTTGTACTAGAGCTGCCTGAAATACTCTGTTTTCCATGTTTGTAAACAAAAATAGGAACATTACTACATAACACTGTGATTGGAAAAATACCTTCTCTTTGACTCCTCCCTTACATTCCGTAAAGGAGACTTAAGCCACTTTAGTATCCAAAATACATCGTCACTAGCAAAATATAATTTTCTCTGGTTGCACTAAATATGTAACCAGAACAATTCAATGTATTGTCTTTCCACAACTAAATCACTTACAAATGGCAATGGCGTAAGATGATGTAGATGGGACTTGAAATTTGGAGGGTTTCAATGTATTTCCTTGTTTAGCATACAGACTAAATAATGGCAACTCTGATCACCGAGGCAGAGTCACAAATTAATTTCAGGTGCCAGTAATGATACTGGTTTATTCTGGGACTATAAGAAACTTTACACTGGGAAGGAAAAAAAGGTGTGTGAATGTAATACTGGGTTTTCATGAGAAACTCTACTGTTGTTTTAACATGAATTGATAGATGGTTGAATTTATAGCTGTCACATTTTTTTCCTTCTCCTATTTTGCTATTTGCGGCAAACAGGAGGTCAAGTACAAACTGATTTCTAATTAGCCTTCCTGAATCCTCCTGGAAAAGACTGAGATCCTGGTAAGTTTTGATGCCGGGTGAAAGGCAGTTAGTGGGCTTATATTGAGTCCTTTAATTACCAGTCTTCAACGAATTTATCTTTTGCGGCTAGATAGCACCCAAGGGCGAGAGGTAATCTTTATAAACCCTGGAGTGATTTGCTTTACAAATCCTGAACTTAGGAAAGTGGAAAACTCTCTCTAAAGAGAGTCTTCTCTTGCACTAAGAATTTTGTTTTTGGCAGTTTTGTGAAGAATTTAGTGATGGGCTCTGTGACCTCCCCACTTATCAGTGTCAGCACCCAAAGCACCTTAGCGTTAAGACCAATTTCTCGCAGCACTTGGGGCCTGCCCGGTGGACAGGAGGATCTAAACCCACGCAGGCAGTGTTTCCAGCAACCTGCGTCTCAAGCTCTCTTCCCTACAGTGTTACATCTTTCTGCCAAATGCAGGTCTTTTCCTCACATACCCAGTCATCTTTCTCTTAAAGCCTCATGGTGTGGCAGAGGTCATGTAACTTGTGTGGTTTACACTGTGTGGATGGTAAGACATCTGAGATGACCAGAATTGACTGACATTGAGAAAATTAAAAATCAGATTGCTAGCCAAATACAGAAATATTCTAATTCAAAATCTACAGTGAATGAGAAAAATGCTGAAGGTGATTTTCATTTTTCAAAGGTACAAATGGCTCAAGACGAACAAGAAATGCCCTGTGTCTGAACAGGGTCACCCCACGTGTCTTCCTCGGACACTTTGCGTGCACACCGGCAGCGTTTGCCTCTCAGCCTGGATGAATGATGGAGTTCACGAGTTGCAGAGGGAGACGCCATGTCCAGACTGTCTCCCAAAGCAATAGTACCAAGAAGAGCTTTCTGCAGGTTCACGATGGACAGAGTCACTTGGTAATTCTTCACGGATGATGTATTCAGCTCCTGGGGGGATGGGATCACAGCAGACGATGGTCGCTCTTTCCCCAGGAGTGGCGGCTTGGTGATCACGATGCTGCTTGCTTCACATTCATGCGGACGACTCTTGCTCGATGACGTTCAGCGGGATGGCCTCCACGGCGTCCTGGCCACGGTTGTTGGCCGGCGCCTGCCTGGGCTGCTGATGGCAGATGTAGACAGGGATGTCATCCCGCTCTGCGGCAGGGGCAGCGCGGGGGGCCGAGCGGCCCGAGGGGAGCCTGCCCCAGCGCTGGCTCCACTGAATTCTGAACTGTGCCCATTGGCGCTTCACGGTGGTCTGGACCTGGAAGACAAAAGGGAGCCTGGTTTTCTTACGATGGTCAGAAGGAACCCTCCAAAGTATAAGAGCGCTGTTCTCAGAGCCCATCCGAGCTCAAAGAGGGTTGAGTTGCAATTCTGATCCACAGGGCAGTGCTGTATGTCCTGTGCTGGGTACTGCATCATCTGGAAGAAGAACGTGCAAACTGAATGACAGAGTCACCCACCTGGATGACCCCTGACAAAAGTATTTGCTAATTTTGGGCAACGCTTTCTTCTTTGGCTTTTACAGTCACTGAATAAAAGCTGATTTGGTTTCACGGTCAGTGTGTCATGCATGCCATATTAGGAGAAAGGTTTAAGGAACTTCTTAAATACCCCTGATAAGACAGACGTTTTATGTACATCTACACATTATTGGTCATGAAGACACACATGTAAGCCACAGCACAGTTCTGGATGTATGTTGATGGCCTCCTACTATGGATCTTTCCTTCTCCAACTTAGCTTGGGGGGGTATGCAGTGACAGCCTTTCAAGAACCAGGTTTCAATCTCTCTTGAAAGACTTCTGACATGTGAACAAAGTGCCAGACTTGTTTTATGAATATGGTGAATTTCATCTTGAAAACAAGAGGCAGAGAAGACGCCAACCTCAGGAAGCTCTAAGTATGAAAATGACAACTGCCATAGCTGAAAGGGTGACACTCTCAGGCAACCTGCTTGTCCCGCTCTGCTTCAAATAGACCTGAATTCAACTTAGAAAAGCTCATCCCTCCTGTTGTCTCCAAACTTCTCCCATTTATCTATAGCTGAACAAAACTAAAAAATAAGAGATTACTGCAACAGTACCTATTCTGTGTTTCCAAGAGTGTCTATTGCTCAGTACAGAAGACAAGATTACATATAGAATAGTTGCATCAGTTTGTTAACATCCTTAGTTCATTCTGCTGCCAGACTCGAATATGGCAGCTCAATGTGAGAAACAATCTAGGGAAAATATAACGTGAGCTACATCATCTGACTGATTGCACACAGCCATTTTATCTACCTTATGTTTGTATGAATCTGAAAGAAGATAAAAAGACAGCAAAACCTATTGATGTTATAAAACTATATGTATAACAGACGACTCAGTGCTTCTCTGGCAAAGACGTTTTATAGCGTAACAATCTCTCCTGATAATGATTAGTATTTGTCATATAATTTTAAAGATTTTACTCAGGGAAAGGCAAAGTCCAGTGATTCACTGAGAGCAAGGCAAGGGGGTGTGGGTGTGGCCCTGGCAGGGTGAGGTCCATCTTTCCACAGCAGAGCAGTGTTGCTCAGGATGGCACATGGCAAGCAGGGCAGTTCAGTAACCTCACCATGGGGAAAACAAAACCTCCAGGTGAGGGAGGTGACTGGTCCTGTTTGCTGGGAGGTGACAAGTGCTTGAGTGCAAAGCACTTTCTACCCATTTTTATTTAAAAGAGACAAAGACAAAAGCTTCCAGTGCTAAGGAGCCTGAAGGCACAGTCCTGCCATCGCAGGTCCTCCACCTGTGCGCCATGGGGCTCACGCGGGCAGTGGCTACAGTGTGGACAGAAGACAGAGTCACAGGTGCTCATGCTACAGAGGAAGGAGAGGAGCTCCCAGCCTCTGGAGACATGGAAGAAGGAACCGTGAGCCCGAGGAGGGCCGTGGTGGGTCTCTCTCCTCTTCCGCTCAGGGCTGGTCAGGTAGGCTCAGAGTGAAAGACCTCCTGGGTCCGCAGAAGTAAGGGGTGCCAGCCTGAACTCACAGGGATGCCGCATGGATACTTGGTGACCAGCTGCTCTCTTGGACAAGCGAAGAGACTTGGACTGTTTTCCAGAGAGAGACTATTGTGAACCAGCAGAGACTGGAGGGTTGGGAGGGTCCTGAAGGAAGAGGAGCTACAGCAAATGAGCACACTTCTGGTGTCTGCACATTCCACTTGACTGCTCAGTGGAGATCCTCCTGAGCACACCACCTGGATCTACCAGCGATTGTACCCACAACACATGCAAGGCACATGGAAAGGGAGGTGACGCAGGGGGCTGTTGGTGCTCTCCATTGTAAGCCACTTCTTGGAAACACATTGGGCATTGTTTAGCTGCAGTAACCTTTTTGAGGTCTTTTAGATTCCTAACGATGCACTGACATGTTTGAGAGTCAACATCCACACACGTGGAGCAGCTGTTGTGGGACACGCTTGAAACGTGTGTGCTCTCAGTCGTCTCCTGCTTCCTGTTGCTTTACCTCTTTCAGTCTACCCATTGGCCCTCTCTGTGATCCATTTTCATAATGGGTATCACTGATAACATAGTGATAATGGATCAAAATTAATATCTCCATATCACCAGTGCACAACTGGCACAGGCACTCCCTAGAGCTCTGCTGAAACTCAGCATCCAGCTGGGCCTGGCCCCATCACAGCCCTGCCTCAGATGCAGCTGGGATCACTTCCTGCGTGTGCCATGCCCGGCCTGCGTTCAGCATGGGATGTTGGAAGGCCGCATGTGTGACTGAGACCCAGACACCTGAAATGTAGGGGACTGTGATATACTCGACGCAGCACACAATGTCTACACTATCAAAGATGCCACACTTGTACCCTCTCCCAGTAACAGGCTCTTAATGAATATGGAAATGGCTTCTTTGCTTCCAAAAACAGAGACAACATATACTCAAATGAGCTTGAGACATTCTATTGTCAGGAGCACCCTGTGTTTGCCTTCTATATGTGACACTGCCAATGAAACACCACAGTTAAGACACATTAAATACTGTGGTGCTTTGCAAATGCAATCTCCTAGTGTTTTCAAGCATACCTCTCCTGAGGCTTGTTTGTATATCATTCCTATTTTGATATTATTTCAGATACAAAAATTTATTTTGAGTGCCACCCAAAGTGACTCAAAAGGCATGGATAGACTTTCACAGAAATTGGTATAAACACGGGATGACTTAAACCCTACTCATTTAATAGTTTTTACCATTTAAAAAAACTCATTGATTAGTTTTCTCAAAAAAAGAGACATTTTATCAGCTGTAACAGAAGGATGTCTTTTCATTTCTATTGTGAGCTACACTAGCCCTATCAATAGTGAATACACAATGCCTTTTTGTTGAGTAAATGGTTGAGTTGATGGATGAATGGATGAAGAAAGGAAAGAACACAACATACTAATGAGAAAGGAGAAATGGGAGTCTCAGAAGTTTGCCATGGGATACAGGAGATGGGTACAGACAGAGGCGATACTCTAGGTGCTCACTGAATATTCCTTAATCAAGAAATAAAGACGAGAGAACACATTGTTAATTGATAATGGTTAGAACATATTTCTACTTACAGGAAAATAATATGTTGATGTCTTGACAAAATAAGATTTGCCTTGGATGGAATTATTCTTAATTGGAATTGATTTAAAATGTTCAAGAATACTTTTGAAAAGTTATGAAGTCCTAGAAAAAGTGTGCTAACAAAAATCCAGGGAGGAGTCACAGACATTTAATTGAGATTTAGTTAATTTAACTGGGAATCAGGAACTGTGTTCAGTCCTGGTTATAACCACAATGGTGTTTGTGAATTGGGCAAGTCACATTGTATTTCTGAAGCTTAGATTTCTCACTTGAAATGTGAGAAGGCTTTCAAATCATGCCCCCTCAAGCCCTGGAGGTTCTTTGGAGAAACATCTGAGGACATAACAGTTTCACTTTTATGTTTTCTAGATGGGGCTCTCAGGCAAGATTTAGTTGGAAGAAAGGGCACTCTGGCTGAAAACCCTGAGAACACTGGCTATACAGATCGCTAGAGTCTACTGATCTATGGATTTGGATACTGGAGTATGTATCAGATCATCTTTTTTGAATCCTACTTTCAGAGTGGTTTTCAAAATGTCGAGTAAGTGGTATGATCCTAGCACCAAGCAATGGGAAAGAAGGCAGTGGCCTCGTATGAACAGTGGGTGTCAGCTCTGTCCTCGCACGGCTTTGGGGTTTCCAGAGCCCACAGGGTTGAGTCCTGAGCAACTTTCACCATTGCTGCTGGAGGTGCTTATCAGTTCAAGGCATGAGCCAAGGAAGTGATGACTCAGCTGCCTGTGTGTCTACCGCCTGCAGGTGCACCACACCTCCATGGTTAAGACTCAGCCTGGAACAGTGGAAAAGACACCACGCTGCTCATCACAAAACCCTATGGGCCACTCATGGAAATGAGATCACATGAAATGTGCATGGAGCCCTCTGGAAACGGAAGGATGCTGGCTTCACAGAGACAGATGACAGTGACAGGTGACAGGAGACACAGGCTCACCTCATTGTTGCAGAAGCAGTAGATCGTCGCAACAAAGAATCCCTGAAAGAGAAGGAAGGGCTGGGTTGGAGCTGTGTCTGTGTGCAAGGTGTTATTTTGTAATCACTGTAGACAGATAGCCTGGAGAGGAATATATCACTGCTGCACTAGCAAATCAAGGCTCCACGAAGTGGAAAGGGGAGAAGAGTTACCTACACTCAGCATCATTGCTGCGCTACAAGGATACGCCATCAGAAAGGCATTGTTCTTGGTGGGATTCTGTCACTTGGCTAAAAGAACATCTCCAGTAAGTCTGGTTAGTATGTTCCTCACTTCACCATGGAGATGTATGATAGAATATGCTGATGACAGTAAATTTTTTTAAAAATGTACTTAGTTTTAAAGTTGAGATCATGTAGAATTCAGTAGGGAAAACTTTTACAAGCACAAGTGTCATTGTGTGTCCTGTGTTGTCATAGTGAATGAGTGCGTACTGTACCCATGGCAAGTTCATCTCTCAAACAAGGACATGGACGAAGTAAGGTCTGCAGTGCTGGTCACTACTCGGAAAACTCCTTGTGCCCACATTTTAATTATGGTTAAAACAATCTCTTAACTTTCTTTTTAGCCCTACTAATTCTGACTTAATTCTCACATTAGGACTAAAGTGAAAAACAAAACTATTTTGAAATCTGTTACTCATACAGCAAGACTCCGTCCTAAGAACCTGTGGTAGAGTCACCTCGGCTGTAGGGCTGACCCTCTCCACCCCAGGCCCTACCTTACTCTCAAATCGCACTGTGTGATCAGGGGGGCTTTGGAAGTGGGACACGACGAGGGGAAGTTGAGCAGCCATTCTGCTCTCCATCACATCCGACACTGGACAGCCAAGGACAATCTGAGAGCCCGCCTTTTCTCTCATGCACAGGGGACACCTGGCACAACTTCCTTTGTAGGCACTGAACAGTCATGGCATCTGATGCTCATCTGACACACGGAGGGTGACAGTGGAGAAGGCTCGGGCAGCTCTGGGCAAAGCTGCCACTCCTTGTTGCCTCAGAGCCAGTGTTTACTTTCAGAGGGAAGGTCTGACAGTCACTCTGTGTGTGACCAGGGAGAAAGTCCAGATGAACTGGCTGAAGGCCCTGGGAGTGGCAGGAAAGCAGGCACAGGAAGAAGTAGCAGGAAGGAGCCTAGGGAGACCTGCTTTCCTTCAGCATCCTGGACAGGCTTGTGGGGCGAAGACCCCAGGCTTTAGAGGAGACCTGTGGTCTGCGTGAGGGCAGAGCATGGGTGGGCACTGCGGGCCTCCCTACCTGGAAGTGGATCAGAGAGTGCATGAAGTAATCGTAGATTTTCCCCAGCACCTTGTTGGAAGGTCTCCATGGAAAGACCACAAACTGGACGCCCAGCAGGGGCACCAGGACCATGGTGGCCTTCACAGCCTTCAGGTACATGTGCGACTCCGCCTCGTGGGTTTCTCGCATCTTGGTCACAAGCACCCGGACAATGTTGAGTAGAAAGAAGAAGTTGACCTGCAACGATATGACATTGTGAGCAGCTGCTTGCCCAGGGCCCTCAAGGATACCCCCGTGCTTGGCCCTGTTTGTCCGGTATGGGGGTGGACATCACCCACACAGAATGGGGAGCCTGCTGAGAGGCACACCGTCCACTCAGCATTCCTGGATCCAGATATCAGGGCAGCTGAGACCCTTTCAGACCTGCATTCACTCATATTTTCTTTTTTTCCTAAATAAGAAAACACTTCTCCTGTACATGTAAATGTGCTAGCTCAGCTCTAACAAGGAGTTTTTTCTTTATTTTGACTTTATAACTTTTACGAAGGGGAGTCATAACAATACTCTTAGACCTCGCCTTCTTGTCTTTTTAGTCTTAAGATTTTCCCTTGACTCAGGCCTACTAAACTGAATGGGGACTGAGGACTGAAAAATGTATCTGTAAATTTCACTTAGTGGAGACAGCTAGCATAGGCATTTTTTAAAAACAACACTTTTTAAAAGAAAATGACTTTGCTGAGGTATAATTTACATTCAGTAAGATGCAGGCCTTATGTGTCCATTGGACAAGTTTGGAGAAATGCAAGCGCCTGTGTAGCCCCATTCCAAAGAAGACAAAGCACATTTATACCACCCAGAAAGCCTCCTTGCCTCCACTGTCCAATGCCCCTCCCCATCCCCCTCAAGCAACCCCAGACAGGAAGGGTGCTATCATGGGCACTCTTCTGTGTCTCTGGCTTCTTAGACCTCATGTATTATCAGTGAGATTCACCCATGTTGTGTAGATTAGCATTTCATTCATTTTTATTGCTTGGTAGTCCTCTATTATTAAATAAAACAGTTTGTTTATTCCTTCCTATTGATGGAAACTGAGCTGTTTCCACAAGTTGATTCTTATAGGTAGAGATGCCATCAACGTGTGCACTTAAGTCTTTGTGTGGACATATGTTTTCATTTCTCTTGAATAAGCACCTCAAGAGAGTGGAATTACCTCTTCATAAGGTGTGTATATGTGTTTACCTTTATAAGAGATTGCCCAGCTGTGTTTCCAAAGGGGGTTTTATTTCATGTCCCCTCCAGGAGTGCACAAGAGTTCTTGTGCCCCCCTAGCTTGCCAACGCTTGCTACAGCCACTGTTGAACGTGAGCCCCTCCAGCAGGAGGTGGTCTTTCCTCACTGTTGTTTTAATCTGTTTTCCTGATGATGCATGAGGCTGAACACCTTTTCATAAACCCATCTGTCTTTATTTGGAACATTGCATCTTCCTTCCTGGACTCTGAGGTTTGTCTTTTCAATCTCTAAATATTGTCTTAATCTTAATGTAGTAAATTTATCAATCTCTCCCTTAGGTGCATCTTGTATCCTACTTGAGAAATATCTTCAGACCTCAGGCTCATAAAGACATTCACCTCATGTGTCTTTTAGAGCAGGATCCCCAACCCCCAGACTTCATGGCCTGTTAGGAACTGGGCTGTATAGGAGGAGATGAGCAGCGGGCCAGAGGAGCTCTGCCTTCTGTCAGATCAGTGGCGGCATTAGATTTTCATAGAAGTGTGAACCTTATTGCGAACTTGCAAGGGAGACAGGTTGCACACTCGTTATGAGAATCTAATGCCTGATGATCTTTTCCCCCTCCCCCTGCTCTGTCCATGGAAAAACTGTCTTCCATGAAACTGGTCTCTGATGCCAAAAAGGCTGGGAACTGCCATTTTAAAGGCTCTACTGTTTTGCCTTTCAAAATTAACCCAGCAGTTCAGTAAGAACTCATTCTTTGTGGTTGGTCATGGAAGGGGTCAGAATTTACTTTTTTCTTCACAAATACAATTACTAAACACATCCGACTGACTGCCTCTTTCCTCTGCTACAAGGTGCTACCATCATAAATCCAGTGTTCATATTTGTATAGGCAACTCTTTCAAAATGATAACTAATCTCTCCAGGTATGACTGATTCACCTTGTTAATTGTAAAATCTTTTTTTTTAGTTTTGGAATATGTGGCACTTGTGTGCATTTCCTTTAGTCATGACATTTAAAAGCATTCCAGATACATCACTTTCTGTTACTTTATGGTCATCTACACTGAAGTGGAGTATGCGGACAATCATTGCAGACACAAATTTATAGCTTGGCTCCTAGAATTGCATCTTCTTCAACATTTCCAGATAATTAAGGCAATAGGATTTAAAATATAAGAATAAGTGCTAAAATGTCTACTTTATTTTGTGAGAATAATAGTAAACTATTCTATTAGGGAAACCTTTTCAAACGTGAATTTATGAGCAGTTAATATTATTTTTGTTATTTTTAACAGATAAAAGATGGAGCAGTACAAAGTTTTAATGACCTAGAGTCATTGTGCATCTCTAAAAAGTACCTGGAAGATCACCTAATCCAACTGCTTCCTTATAACAACTGGGGTACATTTTTAGGTTAATTGTTTTGTCTAAATTTCCAGAGCTGGTAGGCGACAGAGCTCAGACATGGAGCCAGCTCTCCTGAATTCTAGATATATAAGAACAGTAGCTTCCACAGTAAGAATACAATATTTGCCCAGAGTTCACTATTTATTACTAACTGCTTGAGCTTGTGTTGGATGTTTGAATGTCTGGACCTCAAGTTCACAGAACCAAAAAATGTTAGAGCTGTGGAATATCAAAAAGGATGTGACAAATACAAAAGTTTCTCAAAGCTCCCAGATGATCATAATACAGACAAACTTCTAAGCAGAAGCATCGAATGAAAGAATAAATGTTACGTAGCAAGATTTCCCATATACCAAAAATGCTTAAAAATATATTTTTTCAGGAGCATCAAAGTGCCCATCTAGAATAGACACTGTTATTAGATACTGTTATAGACACTGTTAATAGACCATGTATACAGCACCAAAATATAAAATTAAAATGTTTGCTTAATCTTATATGAATTGGTTCATAAGACACAAGATTATGCAACTCTAGAGAAACTGAATGGTACATATGATATTCTGATTTTACTATGATGCAAAACGTGGTCTTTCCTAGAACAGTGGACACAATGGCAAGAGTATAAGTATTTTTTAAAGTATAAAAATCTAATAGGGCATTAACATCTATTGGGTCACAGATTATGTTTGGCAATGAAGATTAGTTTTAAAATTGGAGCTCTTAAAATTTAAGTGACAATTTAGTTTAAAGTGGTTAGAGTCATTTTTTACCCAGAATAGAAATAAACATTATTTTCCCAAAAATTCAAGAAAGAAAAGAGACCTTTGGTAATAACTGAGCTCTTATCGTGTGCTGCAAAGGTTCAGACCCACATCAGGGGGTTCTCACAAGGACAGTTGGACTGGTGAGACATCACTGCTCTGAGGAAACTTGATTTCCATTGGAAAGGTCAGGAAAGTGAGAAGATAGTCTGGATGATAATCCAGTTTCATCAGTCACTAATCATTGCATCCTCAGTACAGGAGAAACTAGTCTGTGGCTTGAGACTGTTTTCCTAGAGGATCTAGTCCTAGAAATCCTAAAGGACAGGCTCCATCCTGTCACGGTATGAATGACAATGAGCCGTGGTAACCCCCCATGTCTAAATAAGAGGCAGCTTTTAAAGCCTCTGAAATCAAATTGTTTTAGAATATCAAAGTATGTCATAGAATATTGTTACATCAGCTTCATTTGAAGTCATAGCACAAATGCTGCATAGAGCCACATTCACGAAAATCTCAACACATAGACAGTACTGCTAACAGTGGATTAAAAACCAGTTCTCACCACCAACGCTGCCATGACAGGGCCATGGATTATGTAAAGCAAATAGGTCTCCACACTCAACCAGCAGCTGAAAAAAGGAGGGAACACATCAATACAGATGCATGTCATTTGTGACCATGTCACTTGAAGACCCTCATGACACTTACTTGTCATTGAAGTACAGGGCCCTGGTGATGGCATGGATAGTGGTTGGCACCAGCGGGAACCCTACAGATGAGAAACGCACACGTCACACTTGGTTCCTGGTCACAAGCTGCAACTACATGGACAATGACTGCACACTTGCAAACACACTGGCAAATTTAGCCTGTCTGTCAAGCTATTCCCCCGATGTTTTTGCACAGATTACCTTTGGTCAATCCAGTTAAAAATATTCACCGTTAGAACAGCACGTGCTTGCAGAGAGTTTGGTTAAGAGCATCCAGGTAACTAAAAGCCTTGTGCAAATTGCTGAGTGTAAATGGGTGCACTGTGACTGTTAGCACCACTGTGTGTCTATGATGACGACGACGATGATGATAATGATGATGATTGTTAGCTGACCCCAGAGAGACTCTCGTTATAGGTGTACCAGGCTCTCTCATGGAGGGGAGCAGGGTCACCTGGAAGATGTGACCTGAACAGTGTAGAGGGGCAGTAGCCTGACTGTCCCCAAAGCCTCAGCTGGTGTGCAGATGGTTTTCCCTCTGTTTATATCACGTGCATGGATCCTGTTTCCTTTTGATACAAACACATCAGAGGAGCCCGTGTGCTCGCTGCCCTCAGGATGTTCCGATGGCAGAACTTTGAAAGGGATGAGTGTCTGCTCCTCCGACTCAACTCCGCTGGTGGAAAAGCTCTGGGAATCCACACGTGAAGCATGAGGGGCACTGGCCGTGCCTTCTGCCAGGTGATACTTTTAAAGTATCATTCTATAATTGTAATCTAGAAATTTGTGATTTTCATTAAAATGGGATTCTCCTTTCACTCAGATGTTCATATAAACAATAGAATATCATCTGACTTGATTGAGCCATCTGTAGAAAGAGGCTTTGTCATTACCGTCAGATTAAGAAATGTGTCTCAGGAAAGAATTCAATCTATTTCCTATGAATGACATGCAAAAAAGAAAAGCTCTCAAAATATTGACTTTGCACCAGAGAAGAGCCTCATCTTCTGAACCCAGGAAGCATTTGATCCGATGGGTTCATCGATGTAATGCTTGGCCTGAAATAATTTTGTGTTCGACTGTTGACACAAAAACATGATTTTGTGATTCACAGCAGCTTTAACATGCCATTTCCTCACATTCAGAAGCATAAACTCATTCTCTGGATTTATTTTGAAATACGTATTTTAGATTTGACTTCAAGAGAGGCGTGTGGACATCTCAATTCATCTCATCATCTGCAGGAAGGAAAGGATGTTTTCTACTTGATACAGAGAGCAGTACAGGCCCCACGCCTTGAACTCCTTGGGCTCCTCACCCTCCCCCAGCTAGAAGGCCTCTATTTACATGACTTGCTTTTTCTTTCTTCTCTCCCTCCAGGACCCAAGATTCATGACAACTCATCCCAACCACCAGAGATAGTGAGGGTTAGAATAATCCTCTCTCCACAGAATTCATTTTTTAGGGGATTAGATAAATTCTATCTGTTCAATGCAGAAGCCCATGGGGGGCATTTTCTTCCTTTAATTTCTTACAAAGAGAAAACAAGCAAGACGAATAATCAATTTGAAGAGGGATGAACAATAAATTGTTTTTCTGAGAACTCAACTTTAATATTTCAAGTTGTTTCCATTTAAGAGACAGTAGCCACTAAGTGGTGCTGGGCAGACTTGGAAGGGAGTAACTACCGGAAAAGCCATCCTCCCATTTTCTGTTGAGGAGATTCTACCACCAAACAGACACCCAGAGTGTGATGTCAACAATATCTCCTTCAATTCTTTGAGAATGGTTTCAAGTCTGGGTGTTGATAGTACCCTTCCCAGCAGAACTAAGTAGAAGAGCTTTACATCACTGCAATAAACTCAGTCCTAGGACTTACCTTTTTGAGACCAAATTTTCTTCAGTCCACCTTTTAAGAATCTTTTCAAAGTACGTAGGTTATGCTTTTTTCCCCTCGGAATTGTAAAATTTAGAACCTATTATACTGTCTTCATAAGAAAAGGATATCAAAAAGATAATAAAATATTATCCAGAAGCAATTTATTCTTCTCTGCTCCACTAAATTCTTTAAGGTTTCAGGGAAACCACTTTTTCTTGAGAAGGTAATTGGTAGTAATTTTTCTTGTTTTCCTCGCATTTAAAGATAATGCTTCCTTAAAAATTTTTAAAAGGGCCATTGCTTTAAAATATGCCATTACACTAGCTCTCAATTCTGTTCTCATAGTTCAGATTTGATACTGCAATTTTTTAATGGTAATGAGCTTGATGAAGTTTTGGGGTGTGTGTGTGTGTGTGTGTGTGTGTGTGTGTGTGTGTGTGTGTGTGTGTGTGTAAAGACTGACTTAGCACTGGTATGCTAAAAAAAATTACATTTTACAGCTATTTGGTTAATTGTCTTTCCAAAAATCTATCTATAGAAGTGCAATTCCTCAATTTATTTTTAAAATATTAGTACTTATTTTTATCATGGTGAGAATATCTTCCATAAGATCTTCCCTCTTCACAGATTTCTAAACGTACAGCACAAGACCACATGGATGGCTAACTGCAGGTGTGACACTGTCCAGCAGGTCTCCAAGATTTCTTTGCCTTGTATGATGAGTTTTTGCACCTGAGGGTTGCTTCTATGCTGACCTTACTGAGTGCAATGTTCTAGTTTTTGACTTCAGTCATTCTGATGACATTTTAAATATTTGCTGCATAAGGAAGGCTAAGGTGTCACATAAATATTGCACTTACTATTCCTGCCTCCTTTTTGATACAGCTGAACAATTTGTTCCTTTTTATGTGTTAAGCAGATATCAGCATTGGGCTGTCTATGATAGTGCCCAAAGCTCTTACAACTAATTCATAACACATTAGCATCCTGTAGGAGCCATGGACTGTGTCGACCCCAGGTGCCCTCGTCTCTGCTGGATGTCATAGGCAAGAAGACATTTACAACCCTTTTTTCTATGGAAAACTTTCTGAGAGTGGCAGATAGATGGTTTTGAGTAGTTAAAATGGGTGCAAGAAGTATACCATAGATTTTATTTCAAAGGAAACAAATCTGACAGAAGTGGGTGTATGCGTAAGTGTGTGTGTGTGTATGTGTGTGTGTGTGTGTGTGTACGCACGAGTGTATGTGATTGGCCTGGGCTGGAGTGTTATTTTCGGGTCTTCCACTGGAAGGCATTTGACCAACTCCAGCTTTTATGATTGTGATGATCAGAATTGCCACTGGGGGTATTAAGTTGCACCCAGGCAGTTCCTGGTGGGACCAGCAAAGGAAGCCTAGGAGTGGTCGAGGGGTGTGCGTAAAGCTAGGTGGGCCAGGGAGAGGGAGGACTGGCTTCCATGGAAGGCTGAGGATAGAAGACAAGACATGACCAAGGCCATCTGGGCTGCATCCTGGCCCATTTGAGGACAGGCACCAGCAGGGGAGACTCCTGGCTACTGTGGAGCCGGCAGGACAGGCAGAGCCAGTGTCCACCCCTGGATGGTAAGGATGCTGGTGTGCCTTCTGCTGCCAGCCTGGCAGGGGCAGCTGTGCAGATGAGGGCTGGTATTTTGTCCAGACAGGCTCTGTTTGGGGCCCACTGCCTACGTCTGCCTCTCAACAGGAAGGTCACTTCCTGATCTCCACTGAGGAGGCCGGCTGGTGAATACACAGGAGAAAATGTTCCTGGGAAGGAAATGGAGGCAGGTTGGGGGTGAGGTTCTCCTATGCCCTGTGAGTGTGTGAAGGATACAGCAGCAGACGGGCCTGTCAGCAATTTCCTCATCGGAATCAGGGGCGACTTGTGTCTACCATTACTGGGTTTGCTTACCGAAGTCACCCTCAGCAGTTGTGCCCTTCCTTCTCTGTGCCACCTCGAGCTCATCACAGTGTGACTGAGCTGGTTCAAGGGCTTCTCCTAAGTTCCCCAGGACACCTGGTTCCCGCCAGCACCACGCCCCACCGAACCCTGGGAGATCGGGCCCCTAATGGTTCTCTGAGACCAAGACTAGACAGAGTGACCACACAGACAGGGCAGAGGTGACCCGGGACTCAGCCGGGAGAACACCTACCCCAGCCCAAGAGGTAGTACCAACGTAGCTGCTGCTCCTCTGTGAACACCGACACCACAACGAGCGTGTGAAGGTAGATGCCTTCACAGAGCATCCAGAAGTAGTTGCAGGCCATCATGTACTGGTGGAAGAAGTGCAGGACCTTGCAGCTCACCTGTCAGGAGGAGACAAAGGTGTTCAGAGAAGGGCACAGGCCGGGCTGCAAACACAGGATGGAGGTGCCAGCGTCGGCATTCAGCTTGTGAGGCAGCCTCCAGGCGCCTGTCTGCACGCCCCCAGCCACAGTGGCAAGGCACAGGTCCTTGGTACCACATGTCAGTAGCCAGATGGGCTAGTGGAAGCTCGTCCACAGACTTTCTTTCCCATCATGTTCTGGGGACCTGTCGAGATGAGACAAACTCATTCTGCAACGCATCATATACACAATTTTAGGTCACATCCAAGGATTTGCCCACGGCTTTTATGACCTGTTTTCTATGGCCAAGGATGCAAATACCCCAGGCATTTTTAATGCTATTCTTGGAGTTCATGGATCTGCTGGTGATGTCTCTTTAACAATAAAAAGGACAGAATTGGGTGACAGGTGTATCATGAATGAACCAAGAGCCATGCTAAGTCCAGTTACTATTTATGCTTTTGTTTTCACATGGGAGCCCTGGTTTCTGGGACCAAGTCCTTTCTGGGCACAAGGATCAGAATGGCGTCCTCACTGAGCATGCCCTGCACATGTGAGAGGCACATCCTTGGGGGAGTCAGAAGGGTCACATGTCAGTGTCTGCCTAGAAGTAATCACTGCTCAGCTGCCTAGTAGGGTACCTGAAGCTACTCCAGCATCACCCCGAGAATGGATCTGCGTCTTGGCACCACTGACATGGTTTTTTATTAAATTATGGTCTTTGACTAAATGATGTGTCATTGTGATTGTGGAGCTGCCCTGTGCACCATTGGGCATTTGGCAGTATTCCTAATCTCTCTCTACAGATGCCAGCCACACCCCTACCTGGTCTTGACAATCAAAAATGTCTCAGACATTGTCAAATGTCCTCTGGGGAGAAAAATGTCCCCAGTTGAGGACCAATACCTGGGGATATTTAACTGTGCTTGTCTTTTTCCAACAATGGCAACAACAACAACAACATCCAGCATTCAAAGTCTAAGACATTAGGGACAATTATTGGCATCCTTATTTTACCAGATGCTCGGTTTGATATGATGTGCCTCTTCCTTTGTTTGCACCATAACTTATCTCAGGTCTTCTTTTCATAAAGCACAGAGAGACCTTCAGTGTGCAGCAGCCCGGTAAACAGGTATTTTTCCAATGAATGCACGGCAGCAGTAATGCATTTTCTGAGAATCTGACATGTGGAGCCAACACACATTCCAGTGTGCGTCCTTTTCTTTCGGGATTCATGGAACATAGGACAAAGCCAGCTGGGCCCAGGAGAAGGCAGACACCATATTTTCAGAGGCAGGATCAACCTCTGATTCTGATCATAGTGGTACAGTGGTGAAGATAACTAAAAACATCAGTTAATCTCAAGGTAATATCTATTTAGCTCAGGAAAGCACTGACTTTTCCGAATCAACTTCTGACTCTGACAACAGTGGTACCGTGATGCAGGTAACTGAAAACACCAGGTAATTGAAAGGCAATTTCTATCTAGGTTAGGAAAGCACTGATTACTTTTCTAATTGGGTTATTTGATTTAGTATTATGTTAGTTTTGTATTTGCTAAGCAAGTTCTTGCTATATTGACATACAGGTAAAATGAGAAATCCAGTGGCTACTCTGAATGGCCTTTGAAGGTCACTGTTATTCAAAAACACTGTTCTTCAGGATCCAGAGTTTCAGGTAGATGCTTTGGTGGCTGTCACTTGTGGAGAAAGAGAGAAGAGAATGAAGATGATGGCCTTATGCCTGTGTCATCCAGGGCAGCTCTGGCTTCAAGTTTTGTATCTAGTTCATTCTCATTATTTGCACCAGCTGTGGTCTCTACAGTGCCTGCAAAAGCTGGATTAGCAGACACTGTGCCATTGCTCCCAGAAGAAGCACAGGGCTAGGTTCCCTTGAGCCTCTGGTCACAGCATTTTCATCAAGCACTCATCATGTAACTTGGTCTGTACTTAGTTGAATGACACCGTATTTAACATACACTGTTGATTCATTCACGCTGACCTCTCAGTCAACAGCACTGTAACTTCTGCCCAAGAAAATGTATCTGACACACTTTCTCTCTCTACGATATGTCACAGCCTTCTTGCACTTAGGAACACCAAAATGCACTTCAGTACTGCACTTCGGGGGCTATTTTAAACAACAAAATCACCCATAAACAGCATAAAAATGAGAAAACGTGGCACTGGGTAGACCCTGAAAAGGACATTTGTTTATAGTGTGAGGACTGAAACAGGAGGGCAGAGAGTTGTTCTACTTGACCTTGGCCAGGAGCTGCACATTAGGTGATTTAAAGTTTTGGCCACTCTGGGAATATCTGAAAGACAACGAGACTGCTGGGAGTACTGATTTTGAGGTCACAAGTAAATCATAGTGAAAAGGCAAATTTGCAAGTGTGGAATCCAGGAATAATAAGGATCGGTGTAATATATTGTTTGGAGGCTAAAGGACTTGAAAGCTCACATAATCTTGAAAATCAACAGAAATCTCTTACATTTATGGAGTACCCAGCAATGATGCTAACTCTGGGTGTTTCAGGATGAATAACATTGTCCAGCAGTCCCCAACTTAATTGTCACTTTTCCGTCAAGGGTGGAGTAAACCAGGCAGTAAACAGGTGACCAGGTCTCTCCTTCCCACCATTCTGGGATAATTTCCTGATTAGAAGCATGGGGAATTAGGGAATTAGCTATGAGATTACATCAAATAAACTAAGCACCTTTCCACTATTTTTCTGGGGATCAGTGTAATTTTGTTGAGAGTAATACAGTTTCCTAAATTGCAAGAAAAAAAAAATCTGTTAGTATAAATGCATCATCCCAAGTAAAACAACAAATTCTTGATGCCAAAAAATAGATGCAATTTTTAAGTTATGCTCTATTTTATTTTATTTTCTTCATTAATATGAACAACAAAGAGATAACTGCCACTATGAATGACACATATTCTAAGAAGTGAAAGCAATAGTGTCCACTTTGGCTTAGATGAGTCGTATCACCTCAGCGTCCTCATCATCATTCTGCCAGCCTTCTCGAGGCAGGGAGGCCCGCTGTGTCGCTGGGGGGAGACCTGCAGATCAGTCGCATGAGCCTCACATGAGTCCCTGATTGCATCTGCAGAGCTTCCCCCAGATTGGCCAGAGGAGAGACATGAGAGGTTGGGCTGATGGTAGGAACAACGCCTCTGGCAAACCCAAAGGGGAAGGCAGCCGATTATAAACAACTTTACAGAGGAAGAAGAAACTCTTCCGCGCTTCCTGCACCTGTGCTCTTGGTTGAAAGAGCCTTTGCTGGTCTCACATGCAGGTAAAGCTAAGCAGCACAGATGGCCAGGTCAGTCACCTACTCGGCACACCTGCAGAGTCCTCTGCCCTGACCCTTGCATCGATGGCGCACGTTAATTCCCAGACTAATTTTTCCATAGGCTACTGGAGTAGACCACCCCAACCCAGTTTTATTAGCCGTTGGCGTCTCATCCTAAAAGGCCCACTGCACCTGTCCCCTCCCTCATGAGACAGGCTCTCCTGCCCAGTTTCCTGCAGGCCGGGCGGGAGGCGTCTGCTTTCCCTGCTGGCCCATCGCCTCTGGTGCCCGCCTTGGTTGTGAGCATCCCCTTCGAGCTACTAAGGACAAATCTCCCGCGCAGGCTTGACTGTCCTGAAGAAATGACGGGTGGAAGAAGTTCACATTGCTTTTCAGAAGCTGGAGCTCATCTGACTCTACTTGTAGAAGCTGTAGAAAATGGGATTCAATTGTTTCCGCTCTTGAGGTACAAAGTTCCCGGGTTCCCAGTAAAAGCCAATCTCCTGTATTGTCCCTCTCAGACCCAGATAAACAGTTCAGAGAGGAATTTAAGAAATGACAAGCATCCTGCCAGGTTCTTTTCCATGCAGCAAGGACAAGAATATTAATTCTGTCTCCTGACTCTCCACACGAGGATCATCAAATGAGCAGATACAGCAAAAAATGACATTTTAGATATTATGGAAATGAAATGCTCCAGTGACAATGGGTAATTTTCACATCACTCAATAAATAAGGATGTATTCAGCCTTATTTAGGTTATGAATTATTTTGAATTTAACTTTAAAAAAAAGAATGTGAAGGAATTAGATTCTCACCCTTGGCCATCCAGGAGAGACTATGCCTGACCAAAACCTACCCAGGGAAGGAACTGGCCATTTCGGCAGGCAAGGGCCCACAGCCCAAAGGGATTCTTCACTAAGGCATGAAGACATGGTATTTTTTTTCCTCGCAACAATAACTCTATAGAAATAGTATGACGACACTTGGGACGGCCAGCTTCCCTCCTCAAGAAACAGCTTTCTCTTTAATACATTCCCATGGGCATTGGGAAGGAATATCTTTTTGCTTCTTTACTGTTGATTCAGTGTCCTGAGAATTGGGTCAAAAAGAAAACAACAAAACAACCCACACCTCCGCCTTTGGTTTGCTTCAGTGTTGAGAGAGAAACTGTTTTTAAAAATGATGCACTCTGCTGTCTCTAAGAGAAAACTGTGTCTGAATCACAGACAGATGAGGGGCTGAGGGACATGCTTTTCTTCAATGTATGACTGTAGTTATGATTTTCACATTAGTTGTAATTTTGTCCAGTCATTGGACAAATTCCCTTTTCCAAAAACTTCTTCTGCTGTTTTTGTCTTTTTGTTTTGTTTTGTTTTTTTCTTTCTTGTCTCTACTTTTCTTGACTAAGGAGGATCTCAATTTAATGTTTTCTGGAATGTCAGTTTTTCAAGAAAAATGCCATCTCTCCAATAATTTAGTCAATGCAATTCAGTGTATAATGCTGCTTGTGACTTAGTCATGCAGATGACAGGATCCCCAGCCCTGGGGTGCCATTTGGGCTGTCCCTTTGGAAGATGACAACTCAACTCCTGGGAAGGAGGGGGCTTGAGCACAGCAGCAGGTCCTGTCATGGCACTTGTTGACTCTTGTGCAGCTGCTACAACAGGGACAACTTCTTTCATGATCCCTGCACCAACAGTTGCACCTATAATCAACTTTAATGATCTTTTGGACAGGAAAAGATACTCAAAAAGCTGGACTTCCTTGCGTGCACTGATGATAGAATATAAATTTTCAAGACGAGACACAAGACAGATTTCACTAGGCGGGTCTCTCTGGGGAGTGGCGCACAAGCCATTTCAAGGGTGAATAACATGTGAATGTGCAAGGTCATGTGAGAGAGTGAACAAAAAAAATCTCATTGGAGAACAATGACCATGTTCAAACAGAGAAAGTACTGAACATCAATCTCCTGGCCTTTTCTCTGGAGGTAGTGTTTGTACCACAATTTACAAGCAAGAATTAATTTTTGCCATCGTGGTTACTTGGTTTTAGCCTATACTATTGACATGTGCTTGGTAAGAGGCACGTGTACCTGGATTTTGCTTTATGGAAGAAGCAGTTATTTGGAAATGTGCCCTCACATGATGACACCACCTGTTTACCATCGTAAGGAACTGGTTGTTGGTGGCTTATTTTTACTTTATCTTCAGAGGAAAGGAGGTTCCTTTTCAGACACATGGAGAAAAATGAATCAATTTTTTGCTTCTTTGTTTTCCATGGAGAAAACACATCTTGAAATAGGTTTTAAAAAAATACAACCTAACCCCATATATGAGGGAGACCCCAAAAATCTGGAATTATTTTTTGGAAGGTGAGCCCCTCATGGTAAGCTTCCCCCAAAAGGTAAGTGTTCTAGGAACCCATTGGCATTAGTGTACCAGCTAGCTTTTTTTGTGAGAGTCTGAGTTTGACTTCAGTGAATTATTCTGGAGGCTCAACATGTTTGCCCATTTCATGCTGGGTGATTTACACAAACAACCTGCCTACACCATGCTAAGTGTTCAGCAGTTTTTGAACAAAAACAGAATGACTCCGGGGTGAGAAACCCCTCCACACCAACTTCAGGGGGATGGCACAGAGACCCTCAGCAGAGAGCTGGGAGAATGTCTATTCAAGAAATTCTAATACTGCATGATTTGATGGAGCTGCTCCCAGATCTGTGTGGCTGATTACTCAAAAGCTGATGTGCTGTCCCCAGCTTGTCCCACTGACAGTCACCTTCTCAGGCTCCCACCCTTGAGGGGAAATGGAAAGCCAAGCAGGTGGCTGTCTCTGCAGAGGCTTCGTCCACCACTTCCCTGGCTAACTGAGTGGGCGCATCTGATTACAGATGGCCACCAATGTGGAGTGGCTGTGCCCTTCCCTTGAGAGCACATCTTCCTAAGGAAATCAACAAAGACATTCAGGAGCACCTGGTGGTATGGAGGAGTCTGGCTTCTGTGTGAGAGGTCCGGGTTGAACCTACCTCTACACAGTCATGGCGCAGAGGACACTGGCCTTCCCTGAGCCTGTGTCCCCAGCTCTAAAAATTGGGATAATTTCACCCCTTGCTGGGATTTCTTGAGGATAAATTTTAAGTCAGTTGACATTAAAAATAAAACTCCTCAAGATAGCCTCGTTGGTCATATTATCCTGCAGGAGAGTGAGATGGGACTTTCTGATAACAACTGCTATGGGTTTAAAAGATGCCCTTCTGGGTACATTCACACGGCAAGAGTTTTTAACATTGTAGGTCCATTAGAGCCAAATTAAGCTCTCTCCCACACCATGCCACTGCCACTGCCATGCAGGACACGGACTCAGAGCAGATTCCACCCATTTTTGTTACTGGGTTGGCAGAACCATCGAATGTTGGTTTTGAAAGATGACACTATCTCCAGACCCTTGCATAGCACAGTTAAGCAGAGAAATGAAAACAAAAATATCCCTTGACCATTCAAAGTGAGTAGGACAGCTTCTGCTGGGGTTCCCAGACGTGTTTTCCACCCACCCACTGCTCTGGGTCTTGAGAACGGATCTGGACATCTCATGGGGCTTCCTTGCCCTCTGGTATCTGGCTGAGTCCAGTTAGTGGAAACTACCAGCAGAGACGGGGGGTGGGGGGTGGGGGAGAATTGAGGTGCCTTTATCCTTTGCTCTCTCTCATGTGGCCACCCCAGGCTGGCGTGTCCCAAAACAGATGTCCCCGTATTTGCTGGAGGCCTTCTCCATACCACCTCTTTATCCCCACATGTCCACTCAGGCCGGAGCGGAAGCGGGCCCCACTGCTACAGACCCCAGTGTGTGTCCACGCCCGTGTCAGGACCCACCAGCTTTGCAGATCAAAATGATCAAACATCGACAATGTCACACTCAGTCTAGTAATCAGTTACATCATTCAACTGTGTTAAATCATCCAGTGGAAGCACAGTCTGTTAACAAATAAGGAAGATGTTTGTTATTAAAGTTAAGGAAGGCCGGTTTGCAAAGGAGACAGCAGAGGAGCTTTGGAGTTTTAAAAACATCTGCTGAGGACAGAATGACTCTTCCAGAATAGAAAGTGTGACTATGAACCGCTTAAACACTGGGCTGGTAAAGAAGCATTTCTGTAAAGTAAGTGGCTACTGGTATCACCACACCAAAGTGGTTTGGTTTTTTAGAAAATAATCTAATAGATTGGATGTTTAATCAGCAGGAAGGAACACAGGCCAGGGTCAGGAGGTCTGAATCGGAGCCCCTATTCCCCAGCAGCACTATCTGGGCAACAGCCATGACTTCGACGCTTGACTTCTGATCTACAAACGAGGAGTCAGGAAGAACCTCCCATTCCCTAACCCCTGGGGTGGAAGGAGGAAACTCAGCAGGTCTGTGTGTCACAAGGGCGTGTGCGGGCACGGGTTCATGCACATGTGCCTACTGCCCCCAGTGTTTGCATTCTCCTGTGTCAGTGTAGATGCGGAACATGAGAGTATTTGAACAGTTCATTAGCGTGAGTGCATAGGTACTCATAGCTGAGGCGGCTGGCCAAGTCCCGCTCGGCACCAGGATGGTGAGGGGATTGACATCTAGGTGCACCTCTGACCGGTATTGACACATGTGTGACCATCAGTGACACACCTGTGACCATCAACATTACATCTGCTACCATTAGTGGTGCACCTGTAACCATCAGCATTGCATCTGAGACCATCACTAGTGCACTTGGGTCACTGGGGAGCCCTGCCTGAGTGCATGCAGGGTTGTCTATGCTCACAAGACATGCTCAGTGTGTTTGCCATGGATGTTAATAAGTCACTGAATAGTCACAAAACTCGTGGTGACTGTATGATTCCTATTTGCTTGTGATTCATCCAGCTCTTCCCTGCAGCTTGTGACAATCACCCCAACGAACAACACAAGCATGACCTACTTGCTTCCTGTACAACTTGACCGTAGATGTAAACATGACCACACACACCAGCAACTGCATTGGTCACACGTCAGCACTGCGCTCACCATGGTGGGTGCCTTATCCTCTACAGTGAAAGCAGGAGCATGACCCCATGGGGCTTACCGGGTCCTTGCGCACCAGTTCTCCGTTGGGCACGACTTCCACCAGGTGGACAATGATCAGTATGGAGTTCAGAATGTAGGTGAGGAACATGTTCTTGTGCAGGGTTACCCTCTGGCAGCTCAGGCTCCTGGAAGAAAGTAGCCCTAGGTGTTAGCCAGTGCCCATATGTTGAAGTCCTGGAAAAAAACCAGCCTGGTCATCTTTAGCAACAGATGATGGAAAGCAGAAGTAAGGGGGGCTGGTTTCATCTTCCAGAGTCACGGCTGCCCTTCTGCCTGCCTTAAAGACAGCTGGCAGTCAGGGCAGCTCATAGTGTTGGGTGCTCAGGGTGACTGCGCACAGCAATGGGAAGCGTGAGTGACAAAAGCACTTTTAACTTTAATAAGTGCTGTAGGACTAGTTAGAGGAGTGCTCCCAGGAGGGAAACCCCTGGGGGTTGGCATGTGCTCACGAAATGTCTGCCACTCCCTGTTGCACCAGATGGACATGAGGCCAGCGGGGATACTGGCACAGAGGTAGAGACAGCTACCTGAGTATTCGGAGGTCATGGCCTCGAGCCCCAACGTCTCCTGTCCTCCTGCTTTCCTACTGCCCCCTCCACGTCTTCCTGGGTCTCACATTCAAGGGGGCATCGAGGGCTGCTCCTTCCATGCCTCCAGGGGTGAAACTCAGACACCACAAATTCCCAAGAGTTCCCACTGGGCCCCCAAAGGCACACTGCAGTTGGGTCCAAGGGGGCTGCCCAAGGAGGTTGCCCAAGGGGTCCAGGGCTGTCCCTGTCTGGTGCTGAGCTGGGGTTTCTATTATTTTCTCCTCTCCTTCATAAACTGGGACACATGAATTGGTGTGAATGTTCAGGTGAACATACACTAGTTGGAATGTCCTATTTCACTTTTTGGATGCAATGGAGAGTGCTTGCATCATGGTTATTACAAAATTGAATTGATTATTCTAGACATATGAAGATCTTGTGTTTACCATATTTGATCCAGTTTAAAGTGTTAGTGTACTGTCATTCACCACGTGAGTGCTTGCAAAGTGCACTTGAGGGTGCCACTGACTCAGCACAGGAACCTCTTCCTAAAACTATTCAGGGAATAAAGTTAGAAACCAGGGATTCCGAAAAGAAAATTCTGGGGAAAGATGAAATATGAAAACAGTCTGGGTTTGCTTACAATGCCTTCCTATACTTCCAGCTCATGGGAAAATTATCTGCAGTCAAAAGCAAATTTAAGTGATAAGGGCACCTCTGAGAGCAGATTTTAACTACTGCAGCCACATTGTTCACCTTCTCAGGAAGCACAAACATGAGTACATCATTAATAAATACTGTTTTTAGAAATTTAACTTGTCGAGCAAAGATAGGATACAGAATTTATGCCCAGGAGGCAGCCTCTGGTAGAGATAGACTTGGGAAAGAGCTTACACACACGTGTGTGCGCACACACACACACAACCACTATGCGCTACTCTGTTAGGAGTGCAGAAATCTGTTTTAAAAAATCAGATGTAATTGGTTTTATAAAAGCACTAAAGATGGAGTTCAAATTTAAATTTAAATTATAAAGAAAAAATTGTCTATGTGAAACATCATGCCCATCTGTGCTGTGTGACAGCATTCACCTTACAACTGCGCAGTGAGTGGCTGAACCCACGCCTGCCCCTTCCACACAGTCATGGCAGAAATATCACGTGTCTCCTCACGGGGGTCAACGTTTCTGTCCCATTACTGAATTCAGCCTGCTTAGCCCAGTGGTGACTGACATCATCAAGATGAAGGTGCGTGATGAGTGCCTCATGTCACAGCTGGTCCGAGCTGTGTGTCTTCTGACCTCATAGATGCCATCATCGGCAATGCACAATGTCAGCTTCCCTTTCCTGCACAAGTCTGATTGTCCTGCATGATGCACATGCCACCCCCTCCAGCTTACTCTCTTGGAACCCTGGGTTATTTTTCTTCCAATACTTATCACCTCCTGATACGGCATATGCGTGTGTTTTGCCAGCTATATTTCTCCTTTCCTCCCACTAAAAGGAACGTGCTAAAGAAATTTGCTTTGTGTGCCTAGGACAGTATCCGACATATTAAGTAGGGCTTAATACTCAATGTTTACGGTTTAAAAATGTATGTAAGAAAAATGTATTCTTTGATCTGTGACCACTAAGCGATTTTCTAGTACATCAGAGAATTATGCTAAATGCTAGATGGCATCATATTTTATGCATGTATCATACCGAACTTTTGCCAAATTCTGAAATCAGGCATTAATGAACTAATATTCAATATTATCCTATTGTTCAACACTAGCTGAAATATATGTCCAGGGCCACATATGAACATACAACATCTGCACACTCCTCACTGAAAACACAGAAAAAAATGACCATTTACAACGAGGGAACTGGGCAACCCCTTTGGGTCCTCTCCCACTGTGGGAGCTTTTCTGTCCTCTCAATAAATCCTGGTTTCTCAAAAACAAACCCCAAAACTAGTGAACTGCTAGTATCCAAAGGAGAAAGATGACTTACACATGGGTCTCTGCTTTTGAAAGTTTCGACATAATTTTTCTCATTGAGTTTTAAAAGTTAAATTACACAGACTTTTGGCATTTCAAGCCATCTTTCTGAGGTGAGCTAAGGGAGCTCTAAGTTTCTCCGAATTCATCCAATCACCCAACTGTGCACTCCCTGTGCTCCAGACCTCCTGGTGGCTGCTAAAAGGTGTTGATGGACCAGCGGGCAGCCCCTACTTCCAGGACCCCACCTGCCACCCTGCTGCTTGTTCACTTTGTTGTGGTAGCTATTCAAAGGATGCTAGGGAGGATTACTTGAAGTCGACATAAAAACTTCATTACAAGTATCCTGTGTTAAATGAACAAGACAGCAGCTGACATCTTCCTGTCATCTCTGAAATGTCTCAGGGAGAAATGGCACAGACCTGATGTTAGCTATACTGTATTCCCTTGATAAAAGCCGGTGTGCGGAGGAACAGAACATGCTTAAACTCCAGTGACAGGAAACCATAAGTCCTTGAGAATCTTCAATTGTGGGAGGAAAAGACAACATAATTACTCTGTCATTCACATGTGAGGGTGAGGAAGAGGCAGTGGCTCTCTTAGGTATGCGCCTCAAGATGTCGAATTTTAAGGCCAAGGCAAAAAAGTCATTTTCATGGTTGCAGTTTATCCAGGACAACTCTTTCACATTAAGCAATTTGTTTCTGGTTATTAGTACCCTGTGTGTGTATGAGTGTGTACTTTTTGCAGTTGTATGAGAAGGCATCTGCTATTTGCCTCGAGTTTCAGATTGTGTAAATAGGTTTGCTCTCATGGGGTGAGGGACAATAGTGTTCACCCCTACAGAAGACAGTGAGATACAGTCCCAGTCAAAGCAAAGGGTGAGCGCAGCAAATAAGCATCAAGTGAGCAGAGTGGGAAGTTGCTGGTCCATCAGAAAATGTAAATTAGGAGCAATTTCTGAATTTGGAACAAGCCCCGGTCAATCCTTGCAGTGTAACTTTGAGGTTTCCTGTACGAAGGGATCCATCCATGATGACATGGGGACCGAGGGAAAGAGAGGGACTGTGGTGAAGTGGATTGTGTTCAGACTCCTGGAAACATTCATAGGGCAGTATGTTATATGTCTTTCCTATCTGATCAGGGACTTCATGCCTTTGAATTTAGCATAGCATTGATCTCACAGAATTACCTTTCCCTTGCACTTCCTGATGCTTTTCCTGTGACTACTGTCCCTGTCATTCCTGCTGCATGGGTGAGCAGTGTGCTGCTGCATGACCAGCAGTCATCCCAGTGTCTGTCATGCCAGAGGTGGATTGGAGGAAAGGAGGCTGTCTTGATACCACCGATTGTGTAGTTTCTCATAGAAACAGGAGGCAGCCAGTGATACAGTGCAATGGTGGGTACTACACAGGATAAGATCCCTGTTTCTACCCAGTATATAGCTTGACATGAAGTAAGCTGCAGGGAAAACAGCGTTCTTTCTGGAGGCTTCCCTGGGGGCCACCATGATTATACATTTTGCCAATGTGGCCAAGGTGACATAATCCAGTGAAGGCACTCTCTGTCTTCCAACATATATTTCTATTAACTTTCAAGCAAGAGTAATGAATATTTAAAATATTCATCAATCAGAAAGCAATGGGTACCAATAGGTCCAAATGAATGTGAACGACTGCTCCGTTATGCTTTTCTTGAAATAATACAGTGAGAGGGTTAAGTATTGGGGATTATTCCACAGATGTGCAAGTTGATAAACTACAAGTGGAACTTATGGGATAAGTGAATTTATTGCAAACTTGCTGAACATGGTCAAGAGCCAAATTCAAATAATGTCCATGTGTGTGACTCCCCAAACTGGGCTCCCAAAGGCTATCTTCATCTTGTCTCTCTGTTGGCGCTCAGCAGGGCAAGACCCCACTTGATAAAGTGATGCTTATGTCTAATCTCTCTCCATATTATTGCTCCTGTTTTTCCTGCAAAGGCCCTAAGCCAAGTGCCATCCTAATAAGGCTGTCTCCTGTCTTTCCCAACAGAAATGACCTGCTTATCATCCCAAATGTTATTTAAACATTTGTCCAGTCAAGGTGTTAGTGTTGCCTTTTCTATGGGTTAAATCTCAGAAGCCTTTTTTCTCTAGGAAGAGAAAGCAGAGAAGGTCAATTTCTTTAAAAATAAAACTCAATGCATGTCTACATTAATTTTCCAGCAGCACAAAGAGCATGATTTTGTTTGTTTTAGGGGTAAGCAGCTCTGCCTTTGACCTTCCTTGAATGCTCAGAATACAGTTGCGTTAAGATGAGAACACGCTTCAATGCACTCATTCTGAGTGACATCCCTCAAGTTTGCAAAGTGTCAGCAGTGTCTCTGCAGGCCTCCTTAGCCTGCCTCTTGGGGAGGACACTACAGCCTCCTCTTCTCTTGGACTCTGTAAGGCCCACTGAGGAGCTCTGAGGGCCTCAGAGTGAGATTTTAATGACTGATGATAAAGGGGACCTCATGTCTCAGAAGTGGAGTTGGGCAATTTCCCAGTTTTGTTTCATGCAAGATTTTTAAAAAATGGCTGGAGTCAGTGAGATAACTCAGGCCTAGGAATACAGAATGAAGCAAGGAGAAGATGGATGATGTTTTGCTCAGGTTTCACACAGATGATGCCGTGTAACTGCAGATGCTTGAAACCTTCTATTGTGATGTGTGGTAAACATCTTAAGGGTGATGTGGAGAATTCAAAAAAAATTCTAGGGAAATTTTACTAATTGAAAGATAAAGTCCAGTGGCAGATCAGTATTACTTTTTACTTTCACAAATTCAAATAGAAAAATCGAAGGGCCAGGAATATGCTTGAATTTTAAGAAAACAGGTGCCCTCAGTATTTTTGTTTGTGTAAGCTTAAGCCATGGCATGAACGTTACCCATGACTTCCTCTGGTCTGAGCATTTGGCATCTCTGCTCATGTTTTCAGGTCTCATGAGTCTCTTTCTGCGTCTGCTCTGGAGAACCAGCGATTCCAGGTTATGTCTTCTCACCATTAGGTTCAAATTATAAATCAATAACATTTGTCTTTCTCCCTGGATTCAAGTTGCTGTTTGGTGTGTTCTTGGAATCGAGAGATGAAAGACACAGTCAGGTGCTTTCTAGGCAATCTGCCCCACACACTCTCAGGGATCTGATCATCATCATCTGCGTTGGGACTAGCTAGGGCTGAGAAATGTTCTTTTCTGCCCTGTGTGCACGTTTACACCGTCCTTAGTGGCTTGGTAGAGAAACGGGAGTGAGAGTGTTCTCCTTCTCTTTGTGAGATTTGGTTCTCACATCTTAGCACTTATTTAAGCAACAGGAGCAGTAAGAGACTAAGAGATGCTTCTTTGACATTATTTTTAACGTCTTTCTCACCTGACTCCAACTAGTTGTATGATTATAAATTTGGGAAATTTTTTCTTTCAATTTTTTATGATTATATTTTTAAAAACTTTAAAAAACAGACTTTTTTAGTGACAGACTTTTAAATCAAAGTTATGTGAGAGCCACGAGGATGCATTTCTTTACCACGGTAACAGACAACTGAAAATAAAAACACAGTTCCAGATGGCTCACGGTATGAGACCACTCCACAGTGTTCTGACTATGAGACTTGAAGTTATACTTCCATTCTAATTCTGGTAGTTAATCCCTCAGGCCTTGTTGCTGTGTTTATGTTTTTCTCCTGCTAAACCGTTGATGGCAGGAGCTCATTGTCTACTATCATGTTAACATTTGTTTTCCAGTTAAAAACATTGCTATTCACTTATATTGCTTAGTCAGTATAAAAATCTTAACTAAGATAAGATTTTTTTTAATTTACAAAAATTAAAAAATAATCAAGGAAAAAATAGTAATTGTGCTAAGGATGTGTTTACAAGCAATTATTCTCCCTTTGGCTTAATTTTGTTTAGTACTATCATAGTAATATTTCAACAAAATCAAATTAAGATCTATTATACTTTTTAAAATTTGTTTTTTATTGAAGTAAAGTATACGTGTATAATCTACCATCTTCACCACTTTTAAGTGCATAGTTTAGTGGTAATAAATATTTCCACTCTCTTTTCCTTCATTCTATATATGAATCACTGTATATTTAATTACATATCACATGTTTTAACTGTGGATGATGATTTGTCAGTCGAGCCTATAAAAGAGCTTTTCTTTATCATTTGTTTTTTTGTTTGTTTGTTTGTTCGTTTTGTTTTGTTTTTGAGTTGGAGTCTCAGTCTGTCACCCAGACTGGAGTGCAGTGGCCGCTCCCAGCCACTGCAGCCTCAACCTGCTGGGCTCCGGCGATCCTTCCACCA